GAACACCTCCTTGAAAAAGTTTGTCATGAAGTCAGCGGGGTTACCCTTCTCAATATCACTTTTAAGTCCAAACACACGCAGATTTAACTTTCTGCTCTGTATTTCCATTTTCTCTATTTTGTCTTTAAGTTCATTGTTTTCCTTCATCAGCGTTTCACGCGCTGCTTCCAATTTAGCAACACGGTCATCGATGCCGACCAGCCCTTCTTCCATCTCACCGAGCTTCTGTCCACACGTGTCGAGTTCCACCTTTAAAGCATCGAGCTGCGGTTGAAATCTGTCGAAAGCAGCCCCGATTTCTTCTCTAATTATGGAGCGTATTAGAGTCGATAATTCCGCATGGCTCACCTGCGATGACCCACTTTCCATGTCGCTCACCTCCTCTGCTTGTCTCCTTTGTGCCCCTTCACTTTCCGATGGGCTGTCGCGCAGACTTAAAGACATTCCGCAATTCTTCTTGTGTTTCTTTGCCGGCATTACATTCACCGTATGTTTAAAGCATTTAAGCGAAGACTGAAGTACTTAATCTATGCATATTAACTTGAGTTCTCCTTAAAAGTTTGAAGTGGGAGCTGCGTGCTCTCGGAGTTTTCACGCTACACTTCCGCGCATGCTCAGTGATCAGAGACTGGCAGGCCTGACTCTCTGCTTCATGTGTTTCTGGTTCCACAGAGCTGCAGAGGAACATGAACCTCAATGAGCAGAAATGTGACGGGAGCAAAGAAACACCAGAAACTGCTTTGAGTTCTGAGGGCTAACCGTCAACGAAGCTCATGATCGCCACAGCCACAATCCCAGCGCAAAAGATGAATGAAATGTGGCATAAAACGAAGCCTGAACCACGATGACTTTACCTGCGCTGGTGCTTGGTGTCCCTTCTGTCATTCCTGCCAGCATGGACAGAAGCTTAAAAAAACTCTGGTTCTAATTTAGCTGAAGCTACTTCCGCTGCTTTAAACGAGTTCCTGCGGTCCGTGCAAACCCAAAACCTTTAAAAAGATTTCTTTAGTGAATAACTGGTGTTACTGGCACAGACATGTCTGTTCAGCTCTCTGGTGTTTATAACGTGATCCGATGGAGTGAGATGTTAATACAAACACCAGGTTGCGTTTGTGTCTCCGTGTGACTTTCTGTTAAAATGCAGAACAAAGCTGCTGCAGCTTGTGGTTTGAAGGCACATTTAGCCTCTTGCACTTCCATGAATCCCTTTTTGGTACAGGTTCCTGATACAGGTACAAAACCTGCAACTCTCCAACACCGCTTGTAATTCGTACCTAATCACATCCGCTGGTGCTGTGTTGCAGGTATGCTTGCAGTCTGGTTTACTATGGCCTGACTCTGGGGGCCAGCGAGACGTCTGGTAGCCGGTACCTGAACGTAGCCATGTACGGCCTGGTGGAGCTGCCCGCCTACCCGCTCTGCATTTACTTCATCAACAAACAGTGGTGAGACACACGATGATACACACTCGTGTCCTGCCTGAAAAACATCTAAAAATAATGAAGTGTCTTTAGCTCACATTTCTTTCCTGGACAGAGTTCATGATTTCAGATGGTTCAAACAGGCGGCTCTTTTTGCTCTGTTAATCACACATTTTAGTATTTACTAGCTGCATTTCTTTTTCAAACCAAGTGCAAACTGAATGTTTGTATCAAAGGCCGTGCCTGGTGGAATTTGAGCTCCGTTAAAGCTGGTCTCCCTGTGCAGCGCCACTCTGCTCCCAGTGCTCCTGCAGCACATGTAGCACCCAGTGCAAGTCTTGTCATGTGAACATGTCAAACGCTGTCTGGTGGCTGCTGAGTCTCCTCAGTTCTGTCTAAACTCTTAACCTTGATTTTACTCTGGAGGAAATGCTGCGGAGAGCCAAACCTGACGAGCAGGGCAGGCGGAAAGCGAGTTGTGTTGCTGTGGCCAAATAACAAAAACGCCATCGCACCACAGTTTAGATCATTTATTGTCACATCTTCTTTGTGAATGTGCATGTTCTAGTGCTCCTGATGTTGATACTGCCACTGATTTCCTGACTCAACAGTTTCTGCTCGCACGTGTTGCACAATCCCAGAACTTTCTGATCCTCCCTTGCAATCTGCTGATGTCCAGATGTTTCCATTGTCTGAGTTGTTTTGTGTCTTGTGTCTGTGCAGGGCTGGGAGGAGGAAAAGCATGGCCAGTTTCCTGTGTCTGGCTGGCTCTGCCTGCCTCCTCACCATGTTCATTCCTGAAAACACCGGTGAGAGCCTCCCGCCACTCATTTTCCTTTCCTCACCTCTTCTCCTTGTGCCTGGATCCATCCCACCTCAGGCAGCAGGTGTTTTGAAGCCATGTCAGCTCGATAAGACTTGTGGCTCAACTGCATCGTCCGTTCCCTGTTTTGTAATGAACAGAACATTGTTCATGATAACAACTTATTTATTCACCTTCAGTTCAACAGGACATAATGTGACAACAGTGTGTGGATGTCATACATTTTATTGGACACACAAATGAAGCCCATGAAAACAGAATGAACATTAGCCGTGTTTCTAGAAAGCTTTTTGTGCTATTTTAAAGAATTGTGTGAGAAATGGTTGATGCAAACAGGGAAATGATAAAAAATAGAATGATTTACGCTCTCTTGAGGTGGTTTTTGACTCTTTTCTAAAACAAAAAAAAAGCTTAATGGGAGATTGAGATGCCTTTTTAAATATATTCTGATGTGACACATGTCAGCTGTGTTCGCTTCTTTTGATTACTTGTGTGATAGTTAGTTCCTGAACTGTGTGTTCTGGGCCTGCAGGTTTCTATGAGACGGTGTGATTGTGTTTACAGGGACCTTGCTGAGTGTTACGTCGATGGCGCTTCTGGGAAAACTGATGGTCAGTGCAGCGTTCAACATCGCCTACGTCTACACGTCTGAGCTCTACCCAACGGTTATCAGGTGAATGCAGTCTGCTTGTCCACACGCTCTTGCTGGTGTTTCACTCAGTGATTCATGTGTTTTGAAACGGTTGTCTTTCAGAAACGCTGGTTTGGGAGTTTGTTCAATGTCATGCAGAGTTGGAGGAATCCTGGCACCGTTTGTTCCCTCCATGGTAAGAATGGGACAGTTTGTAGTTTAGCCCCACCGCTTTCTGGCCGTCTTTTGCTGGCTTA